TCCCGGCAGCGCAACGCCTGCGAACCCCCTCCCCGCCCCGTCCCGGCGCCAGCGCCGCAGCCCGCCCTTGCGTATCCTCGTTTAGGATCCCGAAATCACCTTTCGCGCGTGCCCTGGATTTAATCTCTCTCCGTCCCACACGATGCCCGCAGCGGCGTGCCCTACATAACATGGGCAGGGAGAGGGACTTCACTGCAGTGCTGGCATGGGCGGGCTGCTGGGGGAAGGGAGGGAAGGCCGCCTTTCCAAACCGTCTTGATCACAAGAAATTCTTGTGATTCTCCAAGCGGCCCCCTTACTCTAGCAGCAGGGATGCCATGCTGGGATTTAAGCTTCTGAATACACGAAGGGAGCAAATATTGCCAAGTTCGTTCTCGAAAGCACAGGTGGATACCGAGGAGCCTCTCCTACGGAACGAATAAATTGGCGGAAGTGTTAGATACTACAGCCACAGGCTTCTCCTGTCAGCAGTGGCTGCTTTTGCCTCGGCAGGATGGGCTGCAGCGAACCTCCTATACAGTGCTGCGAGGCGGGAAAGGCAAGGGTGTGCTCCACTGGGATCGGCCCGTCTGCATCCAACACAGCCGCGGGAATGAGAGCACAGGCATTCCCATACGTGCCAGCAGAAAAAAGACATCTTCCTCTCAGGTAGGCACTTGGCCATCTGCTTGGTTGAACCTCCCTGCCATAAACCTCAGATATTTCATTTAACTGGCAAGGCACGATTTTACTTGACCCTTACTAATAAGCCCTGATGGTTTTTGTGACAAAAAAAATCAGGTCTAAACTCTTCCCCACTCCACCCCACAGGAAAGTGACACAGAGTGGGTGTTTTCCTCCATTGTCTTACTGCAGTGAGGACCAGGGGACATCTCCACCCAACCTGGGCAGATGTGGAACTGGCCTACCCAGCAGCTACTTCTCTTGTGTGGGTTGAGAGGCCCAATCTGCTCCTTCCTTCACCGGGAACGGGTGGGACTCCCAATGCAACTCCTGTCCACATGCTGCCCAACGGGAAGCTTGGAAAAGGACACCCTGTTAATATAGGCTGGAACGGCGCAGGTTAATGCATCATTTATCAAGGCTGATAAATCCAGTTGCAAGAAGCAGGCAGAGCAGGTCATGCTCCGCTGCCCAGTGTGCTCCAGGGCTGCTACGTGCCCTCCACAGACTCCATCCGCCTTGCCAAGCTCAGCTGGCAGGAAAAAAAGGCACATGTGTGAAAGGGAGATGCCACTTCACAGAGGGTAATGAGACACAGATGTCAGACCACACACAACAGAGGCAGCACACACAGCTTGGCAAGGGGCGGCAAGCCCGCAGTGGTGCTTTTGTCTAGGAAACAGCTACTGATAGGTGGTAAATAGAGAACACAACCAAGTGAGATCACAAAGGAGCAGCTTTTAGGCAAGTGGATGCAGCCAAAATGGGGCAGGCTGCAGGCTTCCCATTCAGTTATGTCTCTCATGGTCACTTCGTTCCATTGTTTTCAACACTGGTGGTCCCCAAGGATGATGCTGTGCCCCTGTACTGTACAACACTCCTTCAAGGAACAGGGTCTGAGCACATCACCCCTGCAGAGCTCAGTGGCAGCTGCTTTGCTGGGTAATGTTTGTAGAAAGGGAGGTTATTAAAACCATTCAGCAGCTTTTACTCCAGGACTTTTCCCTTTAGACTGACCATGTTCTTCCTTCCTTCAGCACATTTCCACCTATGCCCTACTGTTCTAAGGTTTGTTTTTTTACCCCCATAAGTTGTGACTTTTCTTGGAGAGGATCTAGACTATACAGTGTTAGCTGCTCTTCCCAAAGGCAGGAGGGAGGGAGTTCCTGAGGAACATTCCTGTGGGTTGTCTCACATCACCCTGCTCCAGCATTAGCCCTGCCCTGCCAGCTAGGAAGGAGGCTGCCCTGAGAGTTTTTTCTCACTGCCTGGGGGATTAGGTGCTCAGGCAATTGGCAGCATAAAGCAGGCACTGTACCACAAGCTGTACCTTCTTGGTTAAGTTGGGATCTGCCTGGGATTTTTATATTTGCTCTCACTCTACAGCTGAGAAGGAAAAGTGGAGGACAATGAGATGTGAGGAGAGGAATGCAGCAGCCTTGGCTGCTACTGCAGGGTGTCTTGTCAGGGCCAGATGATGAAGAGCAGCCCCGTTCTGGGGTACAGCAGGGAGGGAAATGAGCGACAAGCAGCTCACTGCTGGGCACAGGGTGTGATGGGGAGATGTGTATAGCAAGCCCCAGTGGGAGGTTTGAATAGCAGAACAGAGAATTTCAGAGAGAGGCCTGAGAGTTAGCAAATTCAGATGAGTGCTGTCCAAGTATGGAGACCCAGGAGGAGAGAACTGAGCTCTGTGGGAAGAGGGCCATGATGGGAATGCTGGTCTGGAGAGGGAGGCAGCATAATAAAGACATTTCTGAGGACTACGGGAAGTGATGCAGAGAGGCAGGGTGGTCCTGGAACTGAGGAAGAAAGCTGCTACAAAACAGCACTCTCAGCTGCCAAACAAGTCACACTGAGTTAAGACTAAATTATTCTCTTTTTGAATCATTGATCTCTCCCCCCTACTCTAAACAGATAGGTTTTGCCAACACTCCTCCCTTGGATTAGTTGAATCCACTTGGCTGTTGGAGAGCAGAGATCCAAGAAAAGGAGCCAAACTCAGCTTAGCCACAGCAAGGGCTCTGCACCACATGAGCTGCCCTTGGCTGCTGCTGCTTCCTCCCAGAGAGTTCCACTTTCTACCTGGGTACTGTTAGCTGGGAAAACATACCCTGGTCCACACAAACAGTGGGACTTCATATGGTGTGGTATTTAAACACACCTGTTAGTGGGCAGTCTCATCAAAGAAGAGAGACAGCTCACAGGAGACAGCAGCAGAGCAATGTGACAAAATGAACCCCTTAGGGATGGGACAGCTCCCCTTGCCTATTTCCCTTTCCCACAGGGAGCTATGCATGAGCCATAGGGCTCACTGTATTACAGCAGGCGTAGGCAGCTGCCTTTCCTGGCATGAACGCTTTACTGCCACAGCAGCAGCCTTTTCTCCCATTGACCCTAGAGTGAGAGCAGGGTCCCTCTTCACACTGTGTGTCTGGCTTTCCTGCTGCCCCTCAGCACTTCAAAGCTGCCTAGATGTCCTGGTAGCAACTCCCTAGAGAAGAACAAGGTCTGTGCATGTTTGTTTCTGTGAGCTCAACTCACTCATGCCCAGACATAGGCTTGTTGAGCTGAGGTGTTTCCACACAGCTCCCCAGCCCTCAGCAGCAAACTTTAAAACGCAACAACCAAAAAGCAGCTTGTCAAGGGTGTGTAGCATCCTATCCAAAACCAGACAGTACTCAAGTTTCGTGATGGGTGCTTGGAGCAGATCCAGCATTAGCAAAGCCATCAGTGCAGCATGAGCAAAGTGTTCAGCCCAGCAAAAGCCCAAACTAAATAACCTCCTGAGTCCTTTCCATCTGTTTTCTAGGATCCTGCGCAAAGAGTGAGAAAGCCTAGGAGTACAGAAGTGCTCTTGCAAAGAAAATGCAGCACTTGCTGTGTTCTCTACCCCAGCTTTTCACTGAAAAACAATTGCAGCATCAAACAAAGTTTGCACAGTCAGCCTGCCCCATGCAGGCTGGGCTCTCTGGACAGTCTGAGTCTGGGAATAGGTGATGTCTGGAGGCTTAGTGGTTATTAACCATAGAACAACAATGAATGGCAATCCTGGAAGCTGCTTTTATGTGAGCATGAAGATTTGTGCCCAAGCCTTTTGCGTGCACGAATCTTTGAGCGTTTCCAAGAAGTAGCTGAGCACAGAGATTAAAAGGATCAGGAGCTCAGCACTCTTGACTGATTTTATAATCAATCTAGTGCTGCTGTTTTTCCTCCTAGCTGCACAACGTGCACAGTGCCAGAACTCCCTGTCTGACTTGGACACTTTGGGGAAACACACCCTTGAAGGGCTTGCAGCAAACAAGATCTGCCCCTTTCTCACCTTGCAACTGAAGGAGGGGAAGGAGAAATCAAAACAGAACCCCCAGTACATATTTCCTCAATCCTACCTGTCATCTTGTTGGTCCAGGGCAAGGAATACTCCAGTAGGGACTTCAGGACTTCCGGAAAGTCCAGGGCAGTGGGGCCCCCAGGGGTGCTGCAGCTTGACATGTCCTGTCCTGGGACTGTGCCAGCAGGGCTAATGGAGGGCCAGGTGTCTGGCCACCAACGTTACACCCCACTCTCCTGGGCGTTGTGAGACGGCCTCGGAGGCACCCGGAGCGTGTTTGCCAAACTACTCTGGCTGAGAAAAAACAAGGAGGAAGGGAAGCAGCCTGGCGGAGATGCAGCTTGCCCGGCTGTCTTCACCTCCCCCTCTCCCACTCTGAAGTGGCCAATTGTGGAAATAGCTTGCAGCCTTGCAGGGCTGGGCTGGGCCGGGCGCCTGGCCAGCGTGGTTTTACAGGGCCTCTCCCAGCCAATCCGGCAGCAAAGAACTGGGCCAGTTATCTAACTTCGCAAAGGCAGCACCCTTTTCCTTCCCAAGGTGTTATAACAAATACATGTATCTGAAGGGGAAAAAAAGCAAGTGTCTGGGGTACGTGTTGGCTGCAAACACAACAGGAGAAGGATCCTCTGACGAGCTCTTGGGAGGCTCTGAGGAGCACCAAGCTGTGCAGGCTGCTACAGGGAGATACACATGCTGTCTGCATCTGCCTGCTAACTTTTTAGTTATCTGTCATTTTGTTATTTGACATTATTTGTATGTGATGCAACAATTACTGTGTGTCCCTCCTAAGTTAATGATAATAGCACAAGGTTTCTTTCTTACAAAGTGTGCATCATCCCCAAAATACATGATTTTTCATCTTAAATGACACAGAATTTTATCAGAAAGCAAACAGCCGCTTCTCAGAGCAGTGATGTACGGGAAGAGAGTCCATGAACCCTGCAAATACCCTGGTAACAACTGGTTAAGTAAGATCTTGAGCACACAAAGCCCCTCCTCTCCTGTCAGTGAAATTTTTAGCATGGAGAAAAGGACTGGAGATAGGAGGATAAAGGTCTGATCCTCTTTTCAGAACCTGGTGTGGGAAGTAGCATCTTACATGTGCTGTGGTCTTTTCTTTTGCAGAGTGTGGTGTTTCAACAGAAATGCCTTTATTTCTCAGTTTGTTCCTGTCCGTTTTGCCAGTCTCAGCCTTACAGTGCCAGTGTGAGTAGGTAGAAACCAGGTATTCCAGGTATACGCTGCTCTGTAGGAATATCTCGAGCCACAGCAATTGGACACAGCCCAGCAAATCATGCATGGTGTTTGGTTCCGTGAGGAAATGCATTTGATTTAACCCAGTAGAAACCAAAATGAAAAAATTACCTAGCCAGGCTGGGTGGTTGAGAATTTCAGTTTAGCAGGAGAAGCCTCATGATCTAGATCCCAATCTAATCAGAAATCACACAACAGTTTGTTTAGTAGAATTTGTAATTATGATACAACCTCTTCAGATTTTGAGCCAGTGATAACCATCCGTGATGAAGCCATTCAGGGAACAGTCCCATACTAACCCGGGCTGTTACAGTGTTCTCCATCCACCCAAAGCTGGAGCCAGCTGAGTCTGCAGATGGTCAGTGCATTCTGGCTCCTGTGAGCAAGAGACATGATCACATCTCTCCTTCCTGGAGCACAGCCTGCCAGCCAGGAGATCCATATCCTTCCCTGAAATCTCCCAGTCCATTCTGGAAGACTGGAGTCACTCAGTCATGCAAGGCATCATTGATGTTTGGGACAACTACTGTCATATATGCCTAGTTTTGCTTCTTATCACAGGCTGGCAAGGGAAAGTGACTGGGAGCATGGTAGCTGTCCAGTGCCAGGTGCAGCTGGACCCCCTGGTTTTGTCCCAGGCTCAAACTTGATATGAAAGCTGAACAAACATCTGGTCACATGTCTGGAGGGACCCAAGAACTTCACAGCAGCTGCTGCAGCAACTGGCTGACATTTATGGCTCTGGAAAATGAATACATTCATTCAGAAAAAAAATCATAGAATCATGGAATGGTTTGGGTTGGAAAGCACCTTAAAGATTATCTAAATTGTCACTTAGCAATTTGAATTATTAGCCTGTAATGAAAATCTCTTAAGTTTTTGTCTAGAGATCTGAGAGTGACGAGATACACATCTCATCTGGTGTTTGCCATGTCCACAAAGTCTCCTACCAATGCTGTGTGTCCCTCTTGATTCAGAATCCCTGAACAATAAGCTCCTGCCCATGAGAAGAGCTTGGGTAACATTATTAGCTGGATGCATCAACACTACCCTGTCTTCAAGCCTCAGGGAATCAGAAACTATACTATGGAGTATAGTCATAGCAGTAGGGAAGCAATCTGTCTGCCCCCATGTCCCTGCCATGGAGGGCTGAGCATTTGAGCTGCTTTAGTGAAAGAAATTGAAATGTTTTCTCTGGAAAGATGCAGGCATGGCCACAGATTGCATCATTTGTGCTGGCTGCAACAAATGATGTTGGCTGTTGTCAGATCAGGTGTGGTTTTATTGTTTTTGTGATCCTATTTTAGTGGAGGTGCTGCATCACTCAGAAGCCCAGCCAGCCCTTAACAGCACATTTTCTCATAGACTCAACCAGCCATAGTCAACTTATACTGGCCCTAAGTGGATGGCACACAAAAGGAGGCACCTAATGCGATGGTAAAGGCCAAACTCCAGGAACACAAATTTAACTGGCAGAGGCCAGGGCTAACTTCTCTGTATTTTCTGCAGGTCTCTTGCAGCAGCTACTCACACCACCCAGCTGTCCTGGCAGAACCTTTTGGCACATTTGCCCAAGGAGTGTGTTCAGCAGTCCTGAGGGGAGGATTGTGGGTACTTCAACATTTGCCTTACTCTCCCTCCTTTTAAAATTTTTTTGGAAAGAAATGGGATTTTTTTAAGCAACCAATTCTTGTACCTTCCTTCCCCTGACCCCTTTGTCTTCCTGCAGTGCTCAGGTGCCTCTGCTGGTACCAAAGCATGTAAATGTCTCTTTTAAAACCTCTAATTCTATTCCAGTCTCTAATGGGACCTCTCTAGAGAGGTGTGCCATTGGGCCCAAAGTGAACTGTAGAGCAATACTACTGAGGTGTTACTCATACGTACAGCCTTGCTGGCAGCTTGAGACCCTGAAGAATCTTTTCACACATTCAGAATACATTCTGATACAAACCTGCTCATTACAAGGAGCTGGGTAAGGGAGTTCTCTGTGCACATCTCCAAGTTGCCATCTTTCCCTCAGCCCCAGGAGTATTCCCTCAACTCCTCCACAGGGCCACTTTCACAGAGCTTTTCCCCTATTTCTGTTCCTGCCAGTGTCTTGCAGCCATCCTCAGACCCAAAACAAGAACCAGTGGCACGTTTGTGTGCCTCCTCAGTCAGAAACTCCTGCAGATTATTGCTGTGGGTCTTGTCCTTGGTGGCGGCATCTAGCTGATCATCAATTTATAAGGCCACCACTGCAAAAGGGAATTCAGTTGTTTCTCAGGTGTGTCTCAAAGCACAGCTGATGGGGAATCCAGCAGCAGCAATGACATTTGACCTAAGAAAGGCGTTAGTAATTATTATTACTAATTGCTGTTATCTCAGCTTCCTCCTATAAGGTGAAAGTTTGGCTTGGTAATCTAATGGAATGTCTCCTCTTAGAAAATAATTTTTTTTTTGTCTGATTTTCTAAGGACACAAAGCTTACACAACAGTATTATTTATCCATCCATCCATCCATCCGGCCGGCCGGCCGGCTGGCCGGCCGTCCATCCACCCTCAGAGCATGCTACCCACCTTGGCAAAGGGATAAATACATTTAAATATCCTATTCTGTTTGAAAGATGAGCTAGGAAGAGGAGAGTGAAATTAATGTTTCCCCAAAGATGAAACCTGCTGTTATGTATTCTGTATGATCTGGGGCCCATTGGCAGTGACAAAGGACAGGCAGAAACCAGCTGTACTGAAGGGCCTTTGTGGTGACATACAAGATGACACTCCCCTGAAGTGAATCTGTGAGAAAGGATAAAAATGTGTAGAAGCCTCTATAAGATTTGCAAAATCCGCTGTTCATGAAGCAAGAGAATTTTCCTTTCTTTCTCCATTTCTTTCAGTCACCCAAGACCATTCACACTGGCAGCACAGCCATTATTTGGAAATTTCTGTACCTCCTCACATGAGACTTTTCTGTTGCACATCCCACAAATCAAGCCTACTCCTCAAAGTCTGTGTGGAGGCTCCAGGCCCACTCGCAGGGTTTGATTCTCACACCAAACCCAGCTTGGTAAGTAGTTTCCTCTTTCTTTTATCCAAGCAAAGCGTTTGCCAGAGGTCAATCACTGCCTCTTTACAGACATCCGTCCAATTTTTTGTTTATCTGCTAGTTCTTAGGACAATTGTACATTCCCCTTACAGCTTCCAGACTTAACTGTTTACTTGTATGGTGCACTGGGCTTGGCAGGGAATTTTTCTCACCTTGGCAGAGGCCTGCAGACTGTTTCACCATGGCTATTCTGAAAGGACACTTGCACCACATCCCAGAAACTTGTCTTTTTCTGAGTTGAGATGCTGCTAGTGCTAACAGACCTCCATGGAGCTGCAGGGATACCCAGAATGGCAGCAGAAGGGAAGGCTGTGGCCAGACCACAGGGGTGTCAGCATCCACAGCAGATTACTTTGAAGTAAAGGAGGTGAGAGAAGGAGTGATGAAGCCAGCACGGACAGCTGATGGAAAGCGGGACTAGGGCTCGGTCCTTTGGATCCATTTGGTGCCTGCAACATGGGCATGCAACTCTTTGGGTACTTTTGATGGTAGCAACATGTGACACAGATGCAGACTTGATGAGGCCTCACTCCTCAGAGCTCCCTTCCTACCTCTGAAAAGGCTTCCTTCCCTGGCAGTGTATGGCATGCATACATGTGCCTATGCATGTGTACATATGTGCCTGCTTGCCTCCCTGTGTGGAGGAGCAGTGCTGGGACCTCCCAGCCATGCAGTGAACTTCAGTGGAAGTGCCTGCACCTCCCGCCTGAGGCAAAAGAATTTCTAAAAACTAATTCCCCAAAATGAGTGCCAAAAAGTTAATGAGCTTTGCTTCCCCACCACCCCCACCAAGACATCTCCTCCTTTGTGGGGTGCTCACATGGCAGCTGGGCTCACCTCAGCTGTGCTTCTCTGCACGTGGCCTTCCTTTGTGAGGTGCCATTTGCCAGAGAACTAGGTGCTGGGCAGGGAGAAAACGTGAAAAAGGGTCTTGGGGTCACCAGAAGTTGTACTGTCCTGAGCAGGAAGGACACCTAGAGCTGCTTTTTTGCATTTCCCTGCTCTGAAAACACTCTGGCAGCCTGGACAGAGGCAGCTTTGGGAGCTCTTGGAACAAGCCTTGGCAGGAGGCAGAGTCTAGGAGGTGCCAAGAACAGCAATAAACCAGGGGGCTGAAAGCAGGATGGGGAAATCCAAGGCCAGTGATGTTGGGCCACAGGAGATCATTGGGTGGGACAGCAAGAGACACATTCCTGTGGCTGCTTCCCTCTCACAACCAAGGCTGTCTGTAAGGACCTGAGCTGTCTGTCAGCCATCTCTTCCTACTCACACCTGCTAAGAACAACATGGTCCCCAGAAAGAGCAGAAATCCTGCAGCACAAGAGGTCTGAGCTTGATGGAAAGATACAGGAGTCAGCTGAGCCTGGGGAAGGCATGTGGGCTGAAAGAAAACAAATGACCCTTAAAAAAGTTTGGATAGTTTGGCTGCTACTGATACCCCAAAGCCAAGACATGAATGGTCTTGAAAGGAGAAGCTCCAGACTGCCTAGAGCTTCTTTTGAAACACTGTATTGAATCCCCACCACAGCTCCCAGGGGCAATGCCCAGCTGTGTTGCAGTTATTCTCAAGCAATTTTACTGAGGAGAACTGAGGCCATCTCAGTCCCATGGAAGCAGGACTTTCCCTCTCTGTCTCAGAGCTTTGCTGGGGTACAGATGGGGGCACGTGCCTTGGTATTTGATTAGCAAAACTATGCAGCTCTTCATCCTTCTCAACCATCTGCCTGGAGGGCTGCAGCGCTATTGGTAGCCCCCAGCTAAGGCAGACGTAGGAAATCCACTGAGAACAAAGGAAATACGCCAAAGAGCACCTCCAGAGCCAAGTGTTTTTCCAGTTCAAAGCAAGCAAATCTACTTTGGCATCTGAGTTTAGAGACTTCCATCCCACCCCTAGTTAAATGTCATTTTTTTGAGGATTAATCCAGATGGTTATGCATGACCCTATTTACTGGGGCTCTGCTATGTCTGTGGCTCCTAAGGCTTTCTCTGCTTTCCTAAGGCTAGTTTTCTGGGGCACAGACATAAGATAAACTGAAGCATCCCTGAAAGGGGCAATCTTAGGAGCTGCCAGGGACAGGACTGTTGCAGTGGGAAATGAATCAACTGGAGCTGTCATCTCGTTTGGTCCCTGCTCTTTTCTTTGCTGTACCTGGATCTGTTTTCAGGTAACACCACTCCTGTCCCAGCAGCACCAGGACACACTGCTCTTGTCTGGAGGGTGAACCGCAGAGAAACAGGAGGTGACAATCAATCTGGAAAGGGAGAGGGGTTATGTGGAATGGACGGATCCTGTCCTGTCCACTCCCATCCTGGAGAGAAAAGAATCAGGCTGAATGAGACATGGCTCAGCTCCAGACCAGAGCTGCAGCTTTCCAGGAAGCTTCAAGAGCTGTGTGTCCACAGAACCTCTACCCAGAGCCATCCCATAGCACCCAAGTCTGCTCAGTGCCTTCCTCCACCACATATCAAACAGCTGTGTGCTTCAGCTGATGTACCCACAGCCTTTCCTCCTCCACTTCCCTCCAACCAGTCACTCCCATCCAGGCCTCTTTTACTGTTTAGCTTGTTGCTTTCTGCCCCAGTTTTTCCCCCCAACTGCCCTATATGGTTACATCCTCTGTGCCCAGCCAGTGACCAACACACCTCACACACATGACACAACACAACATGACCCTTATTCCTGGCTGCAATTGCAGCAGCAAACACAGTGAAGAGGATGACAGCATTTGTATCATCTGCTGTCACTGCCCAGATATGTTTCTCTATAGTGTGGTGGGCAGACTCACTTACAGGATTGCTTTTGATTCTCATCTGCAGCAAACTCCCGCTGCCAGGCTGCTGTGTGATGGCATTAACTATATTCAATATGAAGCCTTCCTCCCACCTCTCAGGGGTTTCTACTCTGCTCCTCTCAATCTTCCATAGAGCCTGGATTTTTCCTGGCTGACCTGGGTCTCTCTCTGCCTTGTCTTTGTATCTGCTGAAGTTCCTAGGAAGATCTGATTACTGAAATCAACACTCCTTTTCTTCCTCTCCAAAATGCAAGTTTATTTCAGTGAAGTAACACCAGTTTACAGCTGAGGCTCAAACCTGCAAGGAAAATAGGTGTTTTTCCCCTGATGCTTTGTCTGTCTCACTATTTGACAATTTTGGTTTCAGTTGTACTGGAAAAGCTACCCTCAACTCTTGCCAGCATGGCCTCAACAATCTTTGGAATGTAAAACTAATGTCTCTCACATTTTATGTACTCAACCGATGCACCTTGGAAGTGCACACAGCTCCTCATTCCCCATGCGCTATAAGAATGTGTTCAGGCCTCTTCTTTGACCAGAAGGACATGAGTTCTTATGTCTGTATGAAGGTACATAAATATGTTTGACAAATCCTGTCTCTTCAGGCCTCACTAGATGTGACCTTCTGGTCACTACCAGTTTATACAGCAGTAACAGGTCTTATCCCTGGGATCCCCCTATCTTCACCGCATCTCCAGTTTTGATTTTACCAAGAATGTGGGTTAATCTGCAACATGATGGATTCCAAAAATAAAGAAGCTGGGTTTATTAATAAATGTTTTCACACTGACCTCTTCCCCCAATGCAGTTTCCTTACATAGCATCCTCTCCAGGAGGAAAGCAAGTGCACAGATGCTTCCCACAGCCCAAGCTGTGTGCGACTCAGTGGGTAGGGCTAAGGACACGTTCCCTAGCAGGGTGCACACTGCCAGGCAAAAGAACTGGCCAACCCAGTTGAACAGAGCAGCCTACACAGAAGAATCCCTAGATGAAGGTGTTTACAAGACCTGATTACTGGAGCTTTCAAAACACAGGTTACCCAAACACCTGAAAGTATGTGTTAATTCAGAGCATATGGATTCTTGACACTCAAGGGAAAGAAAAACATCTTAAATACACCTAAAGGTCACAAGAACTGTGTGTCTGATGAAGAACTCCATCAGCTGTTGATACACACATAGACAATTTTCCACTCAGCAAGAAGAGCTGCTGATTATACTTAAAGATGGGAGAAAGCCACAGTGGTCCAATGCTTGACGTGCTCCCTTTGCTTCCCTCCTCGCAGCAGGGAAATCCAAAAGCAAGATAAAATCCTTTTCAGGTTATTTGAAAAACACAAACACTTGGATCAGGAGAGGGTTTAAAGTGCACACTTTTATTTTCTATTACAAAGGCTAAAATAAGCAAGTTTGGTTTTTCTTTCTTTATTTAAGAACAAAAACAAAAATGTTGTTAAAACATCTACATAATTATCCTGATACTAGACCTTATGAAAGATACTAAGTTCTTTTTTAATAGTAAAGCGTGGTATTCTTAAATTATATTAATACAAAGACATATTAAAGGACTCAAAATCATTACTACCCAGCTCAGAACTGCAGCATCCCCTTGCAATCTTTTCCTTTCACTTGCTAAAACCCATCCATTTTTGACATACAGTTTTCCTACAAGCTAAGTAGGGTAATTTTTGGGTTTTTTTGTTTGTTTTTTTATTATCATTATTTTTTACTTCTCCCTGTAAAGGCCAGGTTAACTCCAATGTTGGTGTCACCTAAATTCCTGCCCCTACCAAAGAATTTGGGAAAAGATTTTCACTAAGCCCTTCAGCATTTAATAAATTTCTGTTCTGTGTGAATGTCTGTAGTTATTTTACAGGATATGAGATTTTCTTCTAATGTTATAAAATTAAAACATTACTTTCTTTGTTAATAACCCTCAAATTTGGTTCTGTGCTGCAGAATTTCCTTCTTCTTCTCTTACACAAATAAAGAAGAGAGAGTTATCACAGGGTCTTGTGAACCCACCACTGAAGCAGCCCCTACAACTTGTGATTTATCTGCTGTAGAACTGCGAGCACTGAGCATTTCTGCTGAGAGCACATAATATGCTGAAGAAAACCCTCTTGGCTTGATAAAGCAAGCCTGGGAAGTCAGTGTGAAACTTCCTGCC